TGTTGCTTCAACAGCATGAAAGAAAGTCTTTTTTACATTGAATTGTGACTGGCAATGAAAAGTGGATTTATTTGGAGAATCCCAAATGCAAGAAATCATGGGTTGATCCAGGTCAACCATCAACATTGACTGCAAGGCCAAATCGGTTTGGAAAGAAGAAAGTGCTCTGTGTTTGGTGGGATCAGGAAGGTGTGGTGTATTATAAGCTTCTAAAACCAGGTGAAACTGTTAATACTGATAGCTAAAACCAGGTGAAACTGTTAATACTGATAGCTATCGACAACATAGTCAATTTGAAGCACACTTTGGTCGTGAATTGACCAGAATAGGCCAGAAGATACGGCAAAGTAATTTTGCTTCATGATAAAGCAATATCACACACTTCAAAACCAGTTAAAGACACATAAAAGATCTTGCCTTGGCAGTATTAACCCATCCACTGTATTCAGCAGACCTTGCTCCTTCATATTACCACCTGTTCCGATCAATGGCACACACACTTTCTGAGCAGCACTTCAAAATGCATGAAGAAGTGGAAAATTGGGTCTCTGAATGGTTTGCTTCAAAACAAGTAAAGTTCTATTGGGATGGTATCCACAAATTACTTGAAAGATGGGGGAAATGTGTAGCTAGCAATGAACATTACTTTGATTCTCTTGAAATTATTGTATTACAAAATCCGTATTACTAACTGATATACACCTAGTAGAATCATCAAATAGTCTGTCCAACCTCATAGGGAAGGTGGGGGCGGGGGAGGTGTAAGATATCAACCAAAGGACTTATATGTATGCATATAATCATATCCCGAAGACACAGACAGTAGGGGGGCCAAGGCTTGTGCTGGGGGGTGAATGTGGCCAGGGAGAGGTCAATGGGAAAAAAAGGAAATGTATGTAATACTTTAAACAATAAATAATTTAAATTAAAAACAAACAAAGAACATAATAATCTCTGCAAATAATGATTCAGGTGAGTTCCAGGTAATCAAGATTTTACTATTTTCTATTCAGATTAGATTTTGAAAAATTTATTTTTAAAAATTATGGGAAACTGCTACATTTTCTAAAAGCAAAATAACAAAGTAAGCCCATATGTCTTTTATTTTATAAACCAGTAGTATTCAGATTTTAATCAATGTTAGATAAATAATTCAGTGAGTAAATTCTACTGTTCAAAATGAAAGATATTAACTAACATTTGTTTAATAACTGTGGCCTCCAAGCTATTCACTTCAAAAGCAACTACACAATAGATTTTAGTGTTATTCTAGTTAATAAATGTCCTGGGAACAGAATATATTCTTTTTTTATTTCTAAATTTGTATTTATTATTATTTAATCCCCACCCAATATTTTTTCTAACGTGAGAGAGACACATTGATTGTTTGTCCCCAGCATGGGCCCAACTGGGGCAAGGGATGGAGCCTCCAATGGAGGTACATGTCCTTGAATAGAATCGAATCTGCAACTCTTCGATCCCTGGTACATGTTCTAACCACTACTACTGAGGAACCTCAGCCAGGGCCAGAATATATTTTTAACAAAGTTAATGTGGCCAATGTAGATTTCTGAGAATACTACTCAAATCCTGGATGGCAGATCAGTGACAGAGGCCTAAGGAATGTTTAAGAATTCTTAAAAAAATTTTTGGAGGGGGAAATCCAAGGAAATAAATTTTGCTTGGAAACTTATGGGTATTCTCCCTCACCAAAACACAGGGGCAAATTTTTACCCAAGTATCAAGAAATTTGCAGAGTACTAAAACCCACCAATGGACCTCAGGTTATCAGCCCCTGATTTAAAATGATGTAGAACTGAGACACAGGGACTTAATGGGTCACGTGGTTTTCTTGCATCATTTGTCCCATGTGTATGCATACTTTTCTAGTAATTCAATAGGAAACCACTGAAACAACCTCCCCCCCCCCTCCCCCCCCCCCCGAATATTAGGTAAATAGGCCTAAGAAGTCTTACTTGGAAGGAAGGGGAAAAAATCCATATTCAAAAAGATAATTTACACACACATTCTTACTCTTATTACTTCCACCCCATAGCTTCTGACAACATTTCACTGCTGCATCACCAGCTTTTAGAACAGAACCTATAACATATTTTAGGAATTCAATTACTATTGAACAAATATATAAATTAGCATATAGTAAGTCCTCACTTAACATTGATGGGTTCTACAACTTTAAGTAAAATAATGTAAAACATGACAAATTTTACCACAGACTAAATGATATAAACAAGAGTTAAGTTCCTATGGCACCTCATCGATATTATAACAAAATGATGTTGAGAATCTGCTGTATTTTTATTTGAAAATACATCTAGATATAACAACATAAATTAATTTTAACAGGCAATTATTGGACAGCCAGAAAGAAAAACTGGAAAATGAATAATCAACCTCAATTTCTCCTAATACAAAATGTGTTATTGTTTCAATGATGAAATATGTAGGGACATATGCTAAGAACCACCTTTCAGAAATTTCTGGGTCAAATAAGAACACCAAGAACCATCAGAGAAGAATCAAAACTTCTTAAACTGTAAGTCTAGAACATTTAACATAATTTATATCTGATTTATATGTCATTTTCAAAACATAGCTATTGGATTGAATAAAATGCAATGTATATTTTAGAAAATTATGTTCAGGAATTGTGAATGTGCCAATTAACCACTTTCTTATTGCTCCAGTAAAACACAATGTTGCCAGATCCTAGACACAGCTGAGATAATCATTCTGGTTCTTCTAAGTCACCACAGGGGAGAGGGAAGAAAAAATTTCATCTACCTAAATAAGTTAGATAAGATCTCTTATGAAGACAAAGAAAGGACTAAGCTTACCACCGAAATATATTTTTGGGAAATTACTGGGTTTTGACAAACTTACAAAGTTATAACTGCTTATTAGATAGATAATTTATTCTTAGTAATATTACAAATACCATTTCACAGATTTTCCCATATAAAGGGCCAGACAATACTGGTTTTACTCTAATGATCTTATTACTTAATAACATGAGGAGAAATGGCATCTCACAGGTGTAGTAGAGACTGCAATGTCCTATCCCCGTGGTTGACAAACCTCTCGAGACACATGCGGCTCTTTGGCCCTTTGAGTGTGGCTCTTCCACAAAATACCATGGCGTGGGCCAGCCTATTTTGAATGGCATTAGAAGTTTAAAAAATTTGGCTCTCAAAAGAAATTTCAGTCATTGTACTGTTGAATATTTGGCTTTGTTAACTAATGAGTTTGCCGACCACTGTCCTATCCCAACACTTATTCTCTCCTTGCTGTTAGTAATCCCAATTTTACTTGCTTAAGATATATGTGCAGCTAAAGGATTATATTTTCAAGATGCCTTCATAGCTAAACGTAGCCATGTGAGTAAATTCTGGTCAACAGGATGTAAGGGGAAATAGTGTGTGAGATTTCTTGGAAGATTAAAGCTTTCTTCCTTTAATTTTTCCTATTGCCTGGAATATGGAAGTAAAGGCATTAGCAGTCAAATTTAACCGTGAGATATCTAACTCTTTGCTTGAAAAGTGAGCATGCACAAGGAATCTAGTGTCATGACATTGAGGAATAGGCTATCAGTCTCAGACCCACCTCCCTCTGACCTTCTTTAAATGAGAGAATAAATCACAATTTATGATTCCCAACCTTTGCTGAACACTGGAATTCTAGTGAGCTTTCAAAATCTGGATACCGAGGTAGCAACCTATATTAAATAAATCAGAACACCTGGGGACTGGAATTGGGTAGCAATACTTTTTAAAGACACTCAAGTGATTCCAACGTGCAGCAAAGTTTGGGCATGTATCCTTATTTCTAACAGCTGATTCTAAATCTAACAATACTGCATCAGCAACAGAAAAAAAGAATAAAAATTAGAAAAACTAAATAATTTTATGGCAACATTCGATTAAGTGAAAACCTGCAAATGAAAAGGCATATTTAAATATTACTATGTGGTAAATTATTACCGAAGTAGAAAGATAAAGAGTATATTTATTGAGCACTTTGCTTATATTTTTAAGCTTTACCTTATTTAATCCTCACCTCTATCCTATGAGGTAGTATCATGCATATTTTCAGTGAAATAAACAGAGAAAACAAATACTTTACATCAAGTAACTTGCAGAGCCAAGATACAAGTCCTGTTTGTGCAAATTCAAGGTTTGTGTATTTTCTATTACATTGTAATTCAAAAAGAAAAGAGACTAAGAGGTCTAGAGTTATATATTTTCTTGAGGAAATATTAGTTTCATGAAAGAATTTCAAAATGAATTTAAAATATTAAGGATAAAACATCCCTATCCAATCTGTAAAACTTTCATAAATCTTGTGAACCAAAAGATCAACATACTAAACCCATATTTATAATAGCACTATTCACAATAGCCAGGAGACAGAAGCAATCCATATGTCCACTGAGAGATGAATGGATAAACAAATGTGGTATATACAGACAATAAAATATCACTCAGCTTAAAAAAGGAAGGCAATCCTGGCACACACTTCAACATGGATGAACTCCTAAGACTTTATGCTAATCACAAAAAGACAAGTTATTCCATTTATATGAAGTATCTAACGTGGATAGATACAGAAATAGAAAGTAGATTAGTGGTTACTAGGGACTGAGAAGTTGGGAGCAAGGGGAGAGGGGAAGGAAATTTTTTAATGAGTCTAGAGTTTCAGATTTTCAAGGAAAAGTTCAGGAGATGTGTTTCATGACAATGTGAATATAGTTAACACTACAGAACTGTACACTTAAAAATGAAGATAGGAAATTTTGTTTTTTAATCACAATAAAAAATGTTAATATTTACTGAATTATCCATAACTCAATATGGGTATGATTAAGTATGCATAAACTGTTTACTACCACTAAAAAATCCATTACAGTAATGCCTAAGAGCTCCTGAGTATTTTAGATTCTACAAAAAGCAAGATTGTCAACAAGTCAGAATCCTCCTTACCTGGGCTTGTCTCTTTTTTCTCTTTGTCTTTCAAAATCCCGTCCTCTGTCCTTTCCATCTCTAGGTTTTTCTTCTATCCTATCTTTTACTTTATACTTTTCTTTATATTTTTTTCCCAGAGCAATATCTTCCTGTAAAGGAGGAGGTGGACTAGGAGTTCGAGGTCCTTTCTTTTTACTTTGGTTGCTTTTTGAATTCCTGAAGATAACACAAAGTTATCATTAGAGATCCAAATACTTTTAGAAGGTCTAATGGATATTTTTCTCATTTTAACAAACAACATTTTAAAAATGGTGGCATTCCTTAAAACTTGCCTTTGAATATTTTTTATATTAGTAATCAATATCTAGGAAAAAACCAGAAATGAGCAAAGAAATAATTTACTTGTTATTTATATCATTAATACTTATTACATAATTTACAGGGTAGGTGTCTAAGACAGAGGTGGAGTAGGAAGAGATTCAGGAAATGAAATAATAAAAGAATTGCATGAACGGGAGGTGATTTTTTTTTAACCCTTTGCACTCCGCTGTCCCCTCTCAGGGGACATCAGAATTCTAGCATATCACTCGGATGTCCCCTCTCAGGGGACATTGCAGTTTATTAGTGATTACGGGGAATTGAGTTAACTCAACACACGTTTCGCAAAGTAGCGTCAAGTAGCTGATAGCCAATGTCCAGAATGGTTCGGAGTGCAAAGGGTTAAAGTTTATATAGAAAAGTAGATGAAGAAAGTAAAAATCACCTATAGTTCCATCACCCAAGGATAACCATTGTTAAAACCTTGGATATATGTTCACACTATTTCCATGTCTCTTTCCCTCCCTCCCCTGCCACACACAATCCTACTTTTTGTACTAAATTCGTATATTTAGTACAAAAAGGTTTTTGTACTAAATATAATATGGGTATCTGTCTATAACAAAATGTAGATTTAGATTATTATTATAGATTGTATGGAATTTCCTTGTATACATATATTCTATAACTTTTTTTTTTAATTACACATTGATAGTTTAAAAAAAATTATTGATTTTTTTACAGAGAGGAAGGGAGAAGAAGAGGGAGCCAGAAACATTGATTAGAGAGAAACATCAATCAACTGCCTACTGCACACCGCCCATTGGGGATGTGCCTGAAACCAAGGTACATGCCTTTGACCGGAATCGAACCTGGGACCATTGAGTCTGTAGGCCTATGCTCTATCCACTGAGCCAAACCAGTTAGGGCCATATTAATAGTTTTTAAATGGCTTCTATACTTTTATCATTACAAAGAACACACAATTATATTAACTATAAATGAAATCTTAAGCATTGTTAGTAAACATTTAAATCTTTGAGTCTTATTTAAAAAAAAATCTTTTTTACAACATTTAAATTATAAAGACAGTCCTCTAAAATTCTGAAATTTTGTATTTCATATTTAACCTACCTAGAATTAATAGCTTATGATCTTTCATTTGTCACTTTAAGTAATTTTATCTAAATGGTATAACTTTGAGCCTTTATATACCCCAAATCAGTGGTCGGCAAATTCATTAGTCAACAGAGTCAAATATAAACAGTACAATGATTGAAATTTCTTTTGAGAGCCAAATTTTTTAAATTTAAACTTCTTTTATCGCCACTTCTTCAAAATAGACTTGCCCAGGCTGTGGTATTTTGAGGAAGAGCCACACTCAACGGGCCAAAGAGCTACATGTGGCTCGAGAGCCACAGTTTGCTGATCATGGCCCCAAATTATCTGTCTTTATGTTATACTTGAACAACAATTTGACCGAATGCAGCATTTTGGTATCACTATTCTTTTCCCTCAAAATTCTATTAAGTACTTTCACACTATCTTCAAAAAAGTCCAAAGAGAGTTCTTTTTTTTCCTATGAAAGTTACTTGTTTTTTTCTGCTGGGATGTATATATTATTCCGTAGACATTAAACATTTCCCCAAAATTCCCTGGCTGGTGTGGCTAAGCTGGTTGGAGTAACATCCCATATGCCTTAAGGTGGGTATGATTCCAGATCAGGGCACATACCAATATTGTAGGTTCAATCCCTGGTTGAGGAGTATATGGGAGACAAACAATCTATGTATCTTTCTGCCATTGATGTCTCTCTCTAAAACAAAAATATTTTTTTGAAACTCTCAAGATAAATAATTTTCTTTTTTAAAATCTTTTTTCAGTACTCAGTGAGCTATTTCCATTTGAAACCTCAAGTCTTTAAATCAATCTCTTCTACTTTATTTAATCAGTTTGCTATATGACTAAGTATTTCTGTTTTTTTATTATAATTTAATGAATATCCTGGAACTCTCTTCCATTTCTTAATTTTTTGTTATTTCCTACAATCCTCTGCTTTTCTATAATCCTCTGTTATTTTCTATAATCCTCTGCTTTCCTATTATCTAAATATGTCCTAAATTTGGTAATTTTGCCTTTAAGCAAGACTCATTCTCCTAATTCTAAATTTGACAATCTCATGATTGCACAATTTTCAGTTTAAAAATTGTTTCTTCTTCCAAAATATATTTCTTCACAGATTGCTCATATTTTCATCAAATGCTCTTATCATGTCAATACAGTATCCTCTCAAACTGTACTAAAATTATATTTCAATTTTTCCCATTTTCTGTATCAATGAGTATTTAGTCTGGTACTGAGTTGTTAATTAGCCTTTTCATTGCATACATTTGGCAAGTTTTCACTAGCCACTCATTTTACTATCTATTGATTTTATAAATGACGTCTTGAGCCTGAATCTCAGAACTTACTTCCTGTGACCTTGAGTTCTCTAACACAAAGATTCTGTAGCTATAAAAGGATAATGTACAGTAACTTCCTCAAAATGGTGATAAAGTTTAAAAAAAAAATAACACTATAAAAGCAATTGAGTTATGGTGACCATTCAGAAAATTTAGTTCTCTTATTCCTTTATCCCTATTTCTTATTATCATAGACTAGAGGCCAGATGTATAAAATTTGTGCACAAGGAAGGAGGTGGGGAGGGAGGTATATCCTTGAACATTAGTTTACCAGACACTGAATAACTGCACAAATTAATACGTATAAGGCAAATAAATCTATATTTTTGGTTTCCAAAAACAAAATATTTTCTATTGTGCACACCAAATGTCAGTCTAAGACTAATGATGTGGCAATCAGCTGCTAAAATATTTGCTGCTAGAATTAGTGAAGAGAAATGGTGTACCTGAATTAGTGGAGAGAAATGGTGTGCCTGAGTGTAAGGCACTTAAGGGAAATGAATACAACATGATGGTAATAATTAGTCATTAGCAACGTTGTAATTTGTTATTAATCACTAGAGGCCTGGTGCATGAAAATTCATGCACTGGAGGGGGGTCCCTCAGCCCGGCCAGCCCCCTCTCATAGTCCGGGAGCCCTCAGAAGTGGGAGGTGACCTGGCAAGCAGGGGAAGGTAATGACCCCATCACACCTCTGCTGCTGCCACTGCCAGCAACATAAGCCTTGGCCAGTCTTGGTTACCTGAGCCTTGAGCAGCTTCCATCCAAGGTTTGTCTGCACCTTGGGCCAGCCCTGGGCACCTCAGCAGCCGCCATCTGAGGCTTGCCAGTGCCTTGAGCTGGCTGGGGGATGAGGAGCCTGGGCACCATTATCTTGTGGCTGTGGATGTCGCCATCTTTAAGGGCATGGCAGTCAATTACACATTCCCTCCTTATTTGCTGTGGGTGCCTCCATCTTTGTGAGGGCATGACTGTCAATTAGCATATTCCTTCTTTATTAGATAGGATATGTACAATAGGATATTATAAAAATTAAGTTATGAAATTTTAATTAAAAAATTTCTTACATACCATTATATTGGCTAGGCTGCAAAAATATTCGTTGTGAGTCACATGTGGCCCTTGGGCTGTGAGTTTGACATGCTTGAAGATGGCCAAAACAGATAATACATTTGCTGGTTCTAAGCCACACTATATCTCACATATCTACATAAAGTTTACTATCAGACTATATCTCACAATGAAAGTAAAAGAAAACTGGCAGCTCTCAGGGAGAATGGTCAGTTTTAATTTGTAATTATCTCTGCCACCCCAATTTAATAACTATGTAAGACTAAGACCCAGAAGTTTGTTTACCTGATTGTTACCTCAGTTGACTGTCATTGGTTGCAACATTCCACTGAATTTTAACTGAAATTCTAATCCTTATTTGTTGCTTAATATAATGTCTTCAAACATTTTACAGTATGACCAAGAAATGAAACTAAAAGCTGATGATCTGACACACTCTAGGTAAACTGCAGAGCTAAAAAATGGTATGTACAATGCAATGTTTTCTTTGTACCTATAATGTATTGTTTTCCAGATCCTTCTGCTTCTATTATTAAATTAATCGTAAATCTTAAAGTCAACAACATTGTAGAATACAGGAAATATCACAGTTAAGTCAATAAGTAATTAGTCATGCTAAATTTTATCACAAGATAAGTGAGCAGTAAGAGATGACTACATGAAAAAGAACAGGATACAACTAACCACTCATCCAAATAGTTATGATTTCTATGAAAAGATTAAATTTCAAAGATTCTATTTTCTTGCATCAAAGATTTTATAAATAGAAAGATAAGAAAATAAAAAAAATATTTCTGGTATGCTGTTTGTTGAGAGAAAAATAAATGAAATTGAGGAAAAGTTAATAATTGGTTAACCAAGTGGATATAAAGCAAATAGGGGTAAATCACATCACTCTATGTTTAACCTCTTCCATATCACTTGCCATTATTTACTCAATCCCAAGAGCAAAGGAAAGGATCAAGTCATCTCTACAAAATGCCCCATTAAAATGCAAAACTCTATGCAAAACTAGGTACTTTGCGAAGATAGAACAATGACCATCAAGACCTATTATAGCCTGGCCAGTGTCACTCAGTAGTTGAGCACAGACCTATGAACCTGGAGGTCAGTGCGCATGCCCCGGGTGCAGGTTTGGTCTCCAGTAAGGGGCATACAGGAGGCAGCCAATTAATGTTTCTCTTTCACATCGATGTTTCTCCTTCTCCCTCCCCCTCTCTCCAAAATCAATAAAAAAATATATTAAAAAAAATCCCAATCTACAAGGAGCTTAAATTTAATAGAGGTTGTAAAACATGTATGCCACAGCTAAATTATAATATAAACAATATAACGAGGGGGATATAATTAAAATTTGATACACACAAAGGGAATACAAATTATGTTCAGTAAAGAAAAATGGAAAAACTTAGCAGAAAGATAAAAATTGAGTTAGACATCACAGTCTTACAATGTAACAAAATTTAATCATTTCTGCTTTTATTTCTTCAAATGGCTACTACAATAAAACTAAATACTATATTATTATTGCTACATATATACTGTAAAGAATTTAATCTCTTGATCATGTACACATGACAAAAAATAAGTTCATTATGTATCATTTCTAATAGCTAAAAACTAGAAACAACTTAAATATTCAACTAGATTAATATGTATAGATACAAAAAAACAAGCTACATATATCAATACATATAAATGTAAAACATGTTAAGTGAAAAAGTTATAATGTATCTGTATTAAGGTTAAATTGATGAAAATACTATATATTGCAAAATAATACATACTATGAAAGTACAAAGACATGCACAAGTATAAAACAAAATTCAAGAGGGGAAAAATAGGAAATATTATGTTTCATTTCTTAAAAAATAGGAAGTTCTGAAGTATATGTAGATGTGACAGATATTTGTTTTATTGTTCTGTAACTTTATTACATTAAATACTGAATGTATTAAAAGTACCCTTCTGCAATCTACTAATTCCTTAAGAGTATAATGTCAGAAAAAGCTATTTCTTCCCAGCACTATTTATTACCTTACTAACCTTTGCTGGTCCAACATGGGAGAGGATACTGTAGTTGTCTTCCTGTCCTTCTTGCTAGTTGAAGATGATGACTTAGGGCTTGATTTTCGCTTTGGAGATTTGCTAGACTTCCTTAGAGAATGTGATGGAGATAACTTTGATCTAACCATTTCTGGTGAAACCTGTAAAAAAAATTCCCTAGGTCAATTCAGAAACTCCTCCAATCATGGTTATAATAATTAGGAATCAAAGCACTGGTTTTTAAACCATACCAAAATTAAAATGAAATATTAAGGGTTATATGATAGCCATATATTGATAGTAGTCAGACTTATGAACCTATGCCTTTAAACAAATGCTAATTAGAGAGAGGATCCAAGATGGCTGCTCGGGTAGACATCTAACCGCAGCAGCACATAATTTCAATGGAATACAACTAAAATGTAGAGTGGACATTGCCCAGAGCTACAGGTAGTCGACTAACTGAAAATGCTACAACAAGAAGGAAAGAGAAAACCAGAAGGAAAATCAGAGGAGCTGAAAAAGCCTAAGGTACGGAGACAAGCTGTGCACCCACACGCACGCGTGCGGGGAGAGGTCGCAGCCGGAGAGGAGGAGAGGGCTGGGTGCTGCCTGGTGTTCCCTAGCAGGAAGGAAATAAAACCCCCTGCCTGGGCTGAACCCCGGAACCGGCAGCGCTGAGCCCCAGTTACGGGCCAGACCGGGGGACCCAGGCTCCGGCAGGGGGAGACGGGGCTGTGAGGCGGAATCCCAGGGGAGCAGCGAAAAGCAGGGCCCCCGGAGTTGCGCGCACATTGCACACAGAGGACTGAATGTTGACTCTGATACTGGATTACCCTAGCCAGAAGAAACAAAGCCTCCGGTGGTGCTGAGCCTCAGTCCGGACTGCTCTGAACCCCAGTTCTAGGCCAATCCCTGGGGACCCAAGCTCAAGCAGAGGAAGACGGGGCTGTGAGGTGGAGTCCTGGGAGAGCAGCGAAAGGCCGAGCCCCAGGAGTCGCGCACATTGCTTTCAAGGGAAGGAATGTTGACTCTGATGTGGGATTGCCCTGGAGGGAAGGGAACAGGAGCCCCGGCCGTGTTGGACCCCTGTTTCGACTGCTCTGACCCCCAGTCCTAGGCCAGACCCTGGGGACCCAGGCTCAGGCAGGGGGAGACGGGGCTGTGAGGTGGAGTCCTGGGGGAGCTGTGAAAAGCGGAGCCCTGGAGTCGCGCACACTGCGTGTAGAGGACAGTCTGTTGACTCTGATCCTAGACTCCCCTAGCGGGAAGGAGAAAAAAAGCTCCAGACTGGAGGAACGCGACGAGGAGCAGGAGCCCCTGCCGGACACCGGCCAGCGGGGCACCAGCAGGGAGCCGGGCGACGGAGTCCCCAGGACGGGGGGGGGGGTGCCCGTGAGCCTTCGACCGCTGAGCGCAGGCAACGGAGCCAAGGCCGGGGGCTGCTTCCTGGGCGGCGCCGACCCCGGCAACAGGCTGAAGCAGCTCAGGAGCCTGCGGAGAACACAGGGGTGCCACAGGCCAACCTGCTGAGCTCCCAGGACAAGGAGGAAGAAACCAAAGAAGTTCTCAATGTGAAGAAATCAAGTGAGGGCAAAAGATAGTAAAATTACTTAAGAAAGAATACAAAGAAGATCTTGAAAAATCAAAGACTAAGTCAGAACTCAACTCACCAGCCAACACTGCAACATAAATGCGTTTAAAAAAAAAAAAAAAAAAAAAAGACAGAATGTTGGAACAGCAGCGGCCAGGCCTAGAGTGGCCAGGCACAAGGCAGTGGCAGCTGGGCCAGGAGCAGCAACGGCCAGACCCCAGAGCAGCAGCAGCCAGAACCAGAGCATCAACAGCCAGCACTGGAGCAGCCAGACCTGGGGCAGTGGCAGCCAGGCCTGAGGCGGAGGCGGCCAAGCCCAGGGTGACCAGTCCAGGAACACCCAGACCCGGAGAAGCCAGGCCCAGAGCAGCCGGGTCGGGTGCGGCCAGGCCCAGAGTGGCGGCTGCCAGGCTGGGAGCGGCCAGGCCCGGAGCAGCTGGGTCTGGTGTGGCCAGGCCCGGAGCAGCAGCTGCCAAGCTGGGAGCGGCCAGGCCTGGAGCGGCAGCTGCCAGGCTGGGAGCAGCCAGGCCCGAAGCAGCGGTTGCCAGGCTGGGAGCGGCCAGGCCCAGAGTAGCCGGGTAGGGTGCGACCAGACCCAGAGCAGCTGGTTGTGGAACGAACCAGAGCAACAGAGGCCAGGCCTGGAGCAGCCAGGCCCGAAACAGTTCGCTCCTCGCCTGCTCCTGCCCCACGGCTGCCTCTCAGACATGGCTGGAAACTTTTGGGGGAACTTGAGGGTCTGCTGAATCAAGTGATGAAGGCTTAGATCTGGATGTGTTGAGTTAGTATAGCGTTGGGGTGTTGATCTGTGAATGCCTTGGGTGGGGCCTGGATGAGGCTCGTTGACCTATTTGGAAATGTCTTTTGTGTGAAGTGTATCATTGGGCATGTGGAAGTATTATTGATATGAGAAAATGCTAAGTAACTGATTTACTATCTGAAAAGGGATTTACTATCGGGGAAAGGGAGGGAGAAAGAGACTGAACAAAAACTGTGCACCTATGGATGAGGACAATGGGGGATGGGGAGGGGGCGGAGGGTGGGGTGGGAACCTGGTGGAGGGGGGAAGAAATGAGGAACCTTTGTAATAATATGAACAATAAAGATTGATTTAAAAAAATAAATAAAAGAACAAAACAAAACAAAAAACAAATGCTAATTAACTCCCTTAAATAATACTAATACCAACAAAACAAAATGCAATTATGAAATTTAAAAATCTCCTAAAAAAATCACAAATTATATTCAAATAAATTCTCTCTCTACTCTTTAGAAATGAAACAATTATTCTGGAAATAGCATGGGCCTAAACAACAGACATATATATATATATTCAAATCCCATTTTACATTAGCCGGTAACTCTGGCCAACAGAACTTCAGTTTTGTTCACCTGTTTATTATCTATTTAACTAATAGCGTAATGTGAAGATTAAATTATTAACACATATGAAATGACTGATATAGAGCAAGTTGACCAATATGTGTATCAATAGCCCAATACAATTTAAGATGTGCCCAGAAGCTAATGAGTTCTCTGGTCAATATTCATGTTGATGTTTATCGACTAACATATTTCAATAAATAGCATACCTCCTTTTTAATAATAATTTCTTCTCTCTTTTCCATGTTTTCTTGTTCCAGCTTCATTAATTCCCTCTGTATCTTCTGACGCTTCATTTCCAATGACAACTCATGAACATAATCATAATTAATATCTCCATTGTCAGAATCTTTAAACAAAAAAATCTCATTACTTTTAAGAAACTATCATAATAATCTCTATAAAATCTAGAGAATCTTTTCAAATAATTTTTATATAAATCAAAACAGTAGAGCCTTTATTAGATTAACATACTTTTAAAAGATAAAAGAAATATACTGTTTCTATAAAGGATTAAAATCAATATGGCTGATTTATGAAAAGCCAAATATTTTTAAGGTTTCTGGATTTGCTGGAAGTAATTTTGAGTTGTTGGGAGTTGGAGTTTTGATTAAGAGATGGGATTTTTAAAAGATAAAACACCCAATTATAAATCCTAAACATTAAACATACCAAAGCCTTCAATATTACACACTGCATATAAAATTAATCATTACCTCTTTTATTTTCTTAGAGACTCATTAATACTAAATAAAGGTTACATTAGTTGTGCAATATTGTTTCCATGTTGTTGTTTTTTAAATTAGTGGCACAATTGATTTGTAACTAATTATGGTTAACTATCTTTAATACTAATGTGTACATGAGCTAATTTCTGAAGGATATATAACATTTTCATTAAAAGTGATTTGTACTAGTTCCTTAGATTAGAACTGTACATCTCCTCAGTGGGTTTGATACTATGTTTCTATTTCCATTCATTTCTTCCAATGGAGGTGGTAGCAAGGAAGAAATCTGGTTAAGGAAAAGAAAAGGAAGGGTGGTGTGCAGAGCTGCTTCATTATAACACATACAAGTTTTCAATGGCTATTGGCACCACCACCCAACATCTCATTCTCATTTGCTATAAATGCCAAAAAGCCTGGAGGTGGGAATTTTACTGACTTCTAATCTAACACATGACTAGTTGGGCTTAATGGATTGCAAAATGAGGTGCCTTCTCAAACTATATTTTTAGCACTTAAGAACACCAGTTCTTAACCTGGAGTAAAGAAAATGAACTAAAAAACAAAGATATCTAGTTCTACTTGACTGCTTAAAGCATAAGAAAATGGGCATCATTGTCATGTACTGATAAAATACAATAGAATGTCAACTATCCACTTATCATGGGGACTGAGTGTAGAAAACCAGGTGCACTGGTTATATATCTGTTATCTGTGTGATTAAACTTGATTACTCATGTTATATTAGAATATGACAACTTATCTGTAAATATATAAACTAGACTAACTCATATTTATCAGTCACAAAACAATCATTAAGTGGCATATAACATTTACTAGGTAAAATAATTAGAGGTGGTGAATTAAATTAAAAATGGATCTATCTAGTTACTATTTTACTTCCCATTGACATAGATCAGTAAATAATAGGTTTGAAATACATGGTTTGATTATATTCTTAAATTATTAATAGACAGATGAAATTTTATAACCAAATACTAAGGATAAAACAAAGAGTATTAACAATAATACTGTGCCCATCAAAAAGCTACTGTGTGGAGGTATCACCAATATAGAATACATGTAAGAACTGAGAAGCTGGCTTTGAGACTTCATTCCCAACCACCCAACCAAGGAAGTAGGCCTGAACAGTTAAAAGACATGTTAAAGACAATGTATGTACTACAGCTAATGCAATTTGCTAAAAGAGAAGTTGAATCTTTAATCAGAAACTATTTTTATTTCATGCATATTTTTATAATCAAAAGAAAGATGCCTTTCTAGTCCATAAGAAATGGGATACAAAGTAGGCACCTTCAGAAAATTTGACATAATGAAGTTTTAAAGCTTGCTGTCAATACAACAAAAGAGCATAACTATCAAATCATATATATATATATATATATATATATATATATATATATATATATATCAACATATGTGTAGCTCCATCTATTGAAAAAAAATCTCATTATTTAACCAGTACACCTGGTATATATTTAAGTATTTCTTTTTGTCTTTTATTTCTAGGTAATTTGATTATATTCTTTTTCTCGTTTAAAACATAATGATTTCATAGACATTTCTAGAACATATGAAGTGATAACCTGGTAAGCCTAGTACAGTGTTTTCCAAAGTGTGGTACTCGTACCCCCAGGGGTACGGGAAGAGTTTGGTGGGGGTACGCATTGCACCGGAGTTTGGTGGGGATATGCACTGCACTGTGCTTAGCTGTGCCTAATTCTACGTTCTCATGAATACGAGGGGTACTCAGCGTTACGAAAATTATAGAAGGGGTATGCCTATGTCAAAAGTTTGGGAAACATTGGCCTAGTAGTAGCAACCTGGCATCATACATAATTATTACAATATTACTGACTATTGTTTCTTATTGACATTATATTCCAAGGGCTATTTTATAATTGTCAATTTACACTTCTTAATCTGTTCACCTTTTTCAGATTTCCCAAAGCCCCACCCATCTAGCAATAATCAGTATGTTCTCCATATCTATCAGCCAGTTTCTGGTTTGCTTGTTCATTTTTTTTAGATTGCACAAAAAATGAAATCATGTATTTGTCTGACTTATTATTACATTGTATATATTTACCACATCATCTTTATCCAGTCATTTATTGACAGGCATTTAGGTTGCTTCCATATATTGGCTATTGTAAATAATGCTGCAATAAATATAGGGATGCATATATCATTTCAAATTATGTTTTGGACTTCTTTGGCTTGATACCCCAGAAGTGGATTTGCTGGGTCATAAGGTATTTCTATTTTTAGTTACTAAGGAATCTCCATGTTTTCTATAGGGGCTGCACCAATTTGCAATCCCACCAACAGTGGACGAGGGCTCCCTTTTCTCCACATCCTTGACAACACTTAATTTATTTATTCTGATAGGTGTGATATCTCATTGTGTTAATTTGCATTTCTCTAATAATTAGTAACACTGAACATCATTTCATATATCGAATGACCATAAGTATGTCTCTATGTATTTATTTTTCAGTTTTGTTTTTTTTTCTTGTAATTGATACTAGTTTCATGGCATTGTGGTAAAAAACCTACCACAAAATGCTTGATATGATTTCAATCTTCTTAAATTTATTGGGCTTTTTTTTTTGGACTACTATGTGGTCTAATGTGAAAGAATGTTCCAGGTACACTTAAAAACAATGTATATTCTGTTGCTTTTGGGGTGAAATGCTTTAAGCATGTATTCCAATGTGTTTTTGAAGGCTGTTGTTTCCTTATTGATTTTCAGTCTAGATAATGTCATTGGGGTGCTAAGTCCCCTACTATGACTGCGTTATTGTCAACCTCTCCCTTTATGTTCATCCATTTTTGCTTTATAGTTAGGTGCTCCTATGTTGTTTCATAAAAGTTTATGTGTTATGCTACCCCAGATATTTTTTTGTTTCCATTTGCATGAAATAATCCTTTTCCATCCTTTTACTTTCAGTCTGTGTCTATCAATCTGAAATTGGTCTCTAATGTATGAGTGGTGTTTTCTATTCAGCTACCTTATATCTTTTGATTGGAACATTTAATCCACTTACATTTAAAATGATTACTAAAAGGTATGTAGTTATTGCCCTTTTATTATTTGTACTTCTGACTCCTCTTCCTCCTTCCCTCCCCCTCCTTTTGCTTCTTGTTCTTATTCTACAAGAAGTCCCTTTAACATTTCTTGTAATACTGGTTTGGTGGTAACTAACTCCTTTAAGCTTTTTCTTGTCTGGAAAGTTCTTTATCTCTCCTTTAATTTTTAATGATAGCCTTGCTAGGTAGAGTAGTCTTGATTGTAGGTCCTTACATTTCTTCACTTTAAATATTTCATGCCAACCATTCTAGACTGTGAAGTTTTTGTTGAGAATAAAGCTGACAGTCATATGAAAGCTCCCTTGTAGCAATTAATGGGATTATTGAATATGTACATTCCTTTTGCCAGGTTAGGGAAATGTTCAGTCATTATTTCTTCAAACAGGTTCTCAATTCCTTGCTCTCTCTTATCCTTCTGGGACCCGTGATGTGAAAGTTGTTATGCTTGGTGTTATTCCAGAGGTCCTTTAAATTATCCTCATTTAAAAAAATTCTTTTTGCTTTTTGATGATCCATTTCGGTGTTTTCTGCTATCTTGTCTTCCAAATTGCTGATTCGATCCCCTCTTCATCTTATCTACTGGATTTCTTCTAGAGTAGTTTTCAATTCAGTTACTATATTCTTCATTTCTGAGTGGTCCTTTTTTTATGGTTTCTATGTTCTTTTAAATGCTTACTATCTCTGAATTTACACTGAGATATCCATTCTTCCCCTAAAGTCTCTGAGCAGACTTTTAACTATTGTTTTTAACTCTGCATCTGGTATTTGGTTTCTTCCATTCCATATAATTATTTTTCTGGGGATTTCTCGTTCTTTTATTTAGGGCATATTTCTTTGTGTCCTCATTTTGGCTCCCTCTCTGTGTTTGCTTCTATGTACTAGGTAGATGTGCTATGTCTCCCAGCCTTGGCAGGATGGTCTTATGATTTAAGTGACCCAAAAGGCCCAATGGTGCAGTCACCCTGATCACCTGAGTCAGATGCTCAATCCCTTGTGTGAATTGTCATGTGCCCCCCTACTGTAGTTGAGCCTTGATTGCTTTTGGCACATCAGGGAATAGCGTTGACTGATAGGTTATCTGGCTGTGAGGACTAACCACAACCACACAGTACAAACTGCTTTGTAGTGGCTCTTCCCACGGAACAGATTCACCCCAAAAGGGCTCTGGTGCCTGCTAAGACCACCTGTTGTGTGTGCTACTAGAGGAGTTAATTGGGTGATACTCTGTTATGGTCTCAAATAAGCTAAAAGGTGTATTGGTTCTGGACCTTTTGGGTAAGTTTCTGGTGTAGGCCAAAGTCAGCTGCACCCTATGATAATCTGGGGTTACCTGGTAGAACATACAAAGTGATGTATAGTTGGCTGCTGCCAGTGCTGGGCCTGGAGGCATGTGGGAGAGGCCATGATGCTAAAATCAAGGCTGGTGGTACCAGTTACAGGCTTGGGGCCAGATAAAATGTACAGAATACCCTGAGGCCAGCTGCCAGCTGTCCATAAGGCTCAGTCACTG